TACATGAAATTATTTATCAGTTTACCCCAGTCCATTTTCAGACGCTATCTGGTTCAGGATACAAATAAACTGAAAATAACACGCTTCATGTCAACGGCGATCATGCTACACATGTTGCTAACAATGACCAATTTCGAGAAGTAATGATGTAATTGGTCACAAGGATGCAATCTTCCCCATCACTGTGAATAGTTATGTGGCTATTTTTGTGCAAGGAGTGGATGGAACGTCGTGTGGATCCCTCCATTTCTATGCTTGATGTGTTTGACTTGCAACACACATATTTGTAAGCCGTTGGATTTCCTGATTCATCCCTGAACAGTACCTGATTAGTTTAATTGGTATCCCAGCAGAACCAAGGGAGATCGTTGCTGCCTCAGAAACAGGACTGCTGAAGAAAGCTTGATCCCAGTATCGTAAGCTAATGTTATTTTTGGGGGAATTTAAAAAACCATTCCGCCATACAATGTACCTCCTCCTTCGTGGGAGAATTCTACTCTTTATTTCTGGTCATCCTTTGGAAATAAAGAGGCAAAATTATTGGAGTATGGGACTACAGGAGGTGACAGAATTAGGGAGGCATAAGGCCCTGCAAAGGAGCAGCTCTCTCTCTTTGAATTCTCCCTCAGTTTGCCACCTTTAGCTCTTTGGTAACCCAAATCCATTCCTGAGTGACCAACTTCAGCCGTCTGTCTGCCAATAGTCTGAGATCAAAGCAGTCTGTTTGCAATTACATTAAATACAGTGGATGCTGGAAAAATGAATTTAACAAAGAGAAAACTCGGGCGATTGTCTGTGTGGAGTTTGCACATTCTCCCTGTGTCTGTGTGGGTTTCCTCTGGGTGCTCCAGTTTCCTCCCACAGTCCAAAGATGTGCATGTTAGGTGGATTGGCCATGCTAAATTACCCATAGTGTCCTGGGACATTAGGTTAGGTGCATTAGCCATGGGAAATGCAGGGATAGGGTAGAGGGTTGGGTCTGGATGGGATACCCTTCGGAGGGTCAGTGTGGACTTGTTGGACCAAATGACTTGTTTCCATGCTGTGGGGATTCTATGAAAAAAAGAAATTGTTGGAGAAACTCAACCGGTCTGGCTGCAGTTGTGGACAGAGAAACAGAGTTTAAAGTTTGAGTCTGATTAACTTCTTCAGAACAAAAAGTTTGCAACTGGGTTAGATGAGTTTCTGACCTCATATTTATAGACTGCTTACTTTCATCTCAATAACATCAGCTAATTTTGCTCTTTCTGAGTTCATCTGGTTTAGGAACCCTCATCCATGCCTTTGTTACATATAAGTTTGACTATTCCAATACACGCCTGGTCCTCCTCCAGGTACTACAATCTAACCTCCACAAACGTAAGTTCTAGTGCCTGGGTCATGTTCTACTGTCTGTGTCTTAACTCAGAATAAGGCCTATTACCCCCACTTGCTTCTGTACTCACTGACCTAGAATGGATCCTGATCAAGCAACACCTGATTTTAAAATTTGCTCCTTTGCAGGGCCTTATACCTCCCTAATTCTATCACCTCCTCTAGTCCCATATTCCAATATATTTGGTTGCTACCATTTTAGATTTCCCTTTTCATGCTCTTAGAATTGTCAAACACTTTAAAATTTCAATTTACATGAGAAGCAAAATATAAAAGTAAATTCTGGCTGCTGTTAGCTTTTGCAAGCGTTTTGTTTAATTTGTTGACTCCAAGAGATATTCTTACCAGTTGATAGTATAATTTAACACATTTACACGACAGATGGATGTGTTCCTAACACCTTTAACTGTTTCATTATAAGTGCAATATTTTACTGAGTAGTTGTGAATTGACAAATAATTAATAACACTCATGTTTTCAGAAAATAATTGTAGCCTTCTAGGTTATATTTCTGGACTTTCAGCACATTACTTTTTAAATAATGAGATGATGTGGAGTTTACTTGGCATGTTCTCATTGATTTCATATTGATTTATCACATAAGCCAAGGACAATAAAGGATCTTCTGCCCTTCTAAAACACAAATCCAGTGTTTGTCCACATATCACATCTGGCCTCCAGTCATTTACAACACACAAATGCCAACCCACAACCATCACTAATAAGAGACAATCTAAACACCAGCCCCTTGATATTCAATCATTCAATGGTGTTACCATCACTGAATCCCTCACTATCAACATCCTGGTGGGTTAACATTGATGAGAAACTCAACTAGACTCCCTCCCATCCCCCACCACTCACTGCACAAACACAGTGGCTACAAGAGCAGGTCAGAGGCTGGGAATACTGCAGTAACTCACCTCCTGACTCCCCAAAGCCTGCCCACTATCTGCAAGGTACAAGTCAGGAGTGTGATGGAATACTCCCCACTTGCCTGGATGGGTGCAGCTCCAACAACACTCAAGAAGCTCGAAACCATCCAGGGCAAAGCAGCCCACTTGATTGGCACCACATCCACAAGCATCCACTCCCTCCACCATCACTGACACTCAGTAGCAGTAGTGTGTACCGTCTACAGAAAATTCACCAAAGATCCTCAGACAGCACCTTCCAAACTCACAACCACTTCCATCCAGAAGGACAAAGACAGCAGATACAGGCGAACATCACCACCTTCAAGTTCTCTCCAAGACACTCACCGTCCTGAGTTGAAAATACATTGCTTTTAATTCACTGTCACTGGGTCAAAATCCTGGAATTCGCTGCCACCTACCCCCTCCCCCCCACCAACCCCACCCCCACCAAGGTCATTGTGAGTCAACCTACACGCAGACTGTAGCAGTTCAAGAAGACAACTCACCACCACTTTCTCAATGGGGCAACTAGGGACGGGCAATAAATGCTGGGCCCAGCCAGTGACACCCACATCCTATGAATGAATTTTAAAGAAAGTCCCAGCATGTCAAAGTTAGTGTAAAGAACTGACATACAACTGGTTTCTCCCCTTTTTTCTCTTCATAGAAAATTCCCTAGGTGCAGCAAAGAGGGTTATTAATATTATTTTGCTTTTTCTTGGTCAAACATTTATTTTTTTCAACATCTCTTAGTGGCCGTCACCCATTTCTCAAAACAAAAGAATTCCTCTTGCCCTCGTTTTTCGACCCTGCACAGTGGTTTTCTTTGAAAATTTATCACTGATAAGGTTGAAATTGACAAAATATCTAAAGGGATAAGTGGGGTAGATGCAGGTAAAATGTTTCCCTTGGACAGTCTTTTAATTTTTTTTTGTCCTACAGCCTCTTATTTCGTGGAAAAAAAAATTGAAGTCTAGAACCAGGGAAACAATTTGACAATAAGGGGGACTTTCTATGTTCAGTTCTGGTCATCACATCACAGGAAGAATGTGGAGGCTTTGGAGAGGGTGCAGAAGACGTTTACCAGGATGCTGCCTAGATTAGAGGGTATGAGCTATAAGGACAGGATACAAAAACCGGGGTTGTTTTCTGTGGAGTGGCGGAAAGTGAGGGGAGACTTGAAAGAAATCTATAAAATTATGAGATGTACGGGCAGAGTTGATGGTCAGAATCTTTTTCCCAGAGTTGAAATGTCTAAAACTCAGGGAACATGCATTTAAGGTGAAACGGGGAAAATTCAAAGGAGATGTGAGGGGCAAGTTTTTTACACAGAGCATGGTAGGAGTCTAGAACATGCTGCCAGGGCTGGTGGAAGAGGCATACGACAGGGGTGTTTAAAGGATGTTTAGATAAGCACGTGTATATAGGAGGAATGGAGGGATATGGACCGAGGGCAGGCAGAAGGGATTAGTTTAATTTGGCATCATGTTCAGCACAACATTGTGGGCTGTGGCGCCCATTCCCGTGCTCTACTGTTCTATGTTCTACGTTCTACTTTGAACCAAGGTGAGGAGAATTATTTTTACTCAGAGGTTTGTAAATCTTTGGAATTCTCTTCCCTAGAAGCCTGTGGAAGATCAGTCATTGAGTATGTTAGAGTCAAAACTAATACATTTCGGAATATCAGGAACATAAAGGGAAATGGACACGGTGCAAGAAAAGGCATTGAGGTGGATAATCAGTCATAATTGTACTGAATGGCAATGTAGACTCAATGGGCTGAATGGCCTACTGCTGCTCTTCTGTTTCTTTCACCCACCATTTCTACCAGCTGCTAAATGTGCCCACCATTAAACACAACTTCCTTTGTCTTTCCTCCTTCCCTTTGCTTCCTGTGGGATATTATTGATCATTTTTCAGTGCCCTGATTGACTTGTACTCCTAAATATAAGAAATAGTTTGTTACTGATAGATGTTCTCTCACTCATCCCTGGCCTCAAGCCTTCTGTTTTGCAACTGTTCTTTTTATTAATCCCACAATAGCCAATGCACCTCCAAACTTTCCTCTCTTTTTGCTCCTCACAGGTTAATTACATTACTTTCTTGTTCTTTTGAATAAAGACATAATACGTGGTCTCCCATTTGAACACCATTTTTATGTATTCTAACATTGCGGATGTGTTTACTTCTTCCTTCCTGCTGCATGATCTGGCTTTTAAAGCTCAATGTTCGCATCGTTCAGTTCTTAATACCTGGTTTGCTTCACTTTATTTCCTTTCAGTAGCGCCCTCTGCTTTTACACTTTGATTTTTCAATTAAAATGAAGGATTTGAATACTCCTCATCTGCATTTCTCTATCTTAAATTTGTTTTACTTGTTTTCTCTCTTGGTATTTCTTTCGGATGTACACCATTCCTTGAAAAGCCCACTCTGAAACACCTTGTAAGAATACTCTGGAGGAACCTGTAAAGACATACAATGGCTTCACATAACTCAACTTCAAATTCCTTTCCCTCTCTATTGGAAAGTGGTTAACTTCTGTTCAATGTCCCCTTTGCTGAGTGGAAGTCACTGTGCCTACATACCATTGTGTGTTTGCAATGTAATGAACAGCTGTGTAATGCATTCTATTTCATCAGAAGATTTCACTCTAATCTAGAACCGAAAGAAATATCCAGAATGTTTTAATTATTAAAAAGAATCTCTGACCTGTAAACCCTCTATGGCCAGTCTCAGTATGGTGGGGGTCAGTTTGGAGGCTTGTTTGAATGTGAAATTGCTCCAGTCTATAATTAGCATAAATCCATTTATCTGTAACTCTGGGTCTTCAATAAGGATTTCCAAGGACAGAAGAATAGCTCGGAGAATATCCACAAAGGTATTCCTAAAAAAGAAAACCATACAAGATCAGAGGGATTTGAATTTTTAACCACAGTTTGTGGAGTCAGAAATAATCCATTGATACCTTATTTTGAAACAAAATCATTGCACTGTGCTCCATTTGGGTTTCATTGTTAAAATGTTCCAATTTAATTCAAAGTTCATTTACTTTTTGCATACGACTCAAAAGTAGTGCCTTCCAAACTACCCAGGGATTAAAATCTGAAACGGATGCAGGCAAACATTCCAATAAAACAAATTATCTCTTTTTTTTCTTTGTAAAATAATCCTGAAATATGAGTAAACAGAATTTTGGTTTCATTTGTAATTATTTCATGCTAAATGCACTGAATATTTTCAAATGGTGAAAATGAAATAAAGAACCTATCCAAACTGTCACTTTTTTGACACATTGTGTTAATATAAAGCAGTTTCAGAAAATTTAAAATTGTAGAACCGCTACAGTGCAGATAGAAGTCATTCAGCCCATTACATCTGTACTGATCTTCCAAAGAACATCCCACCCAGACTCAGGCCCACAACCTATAATTCCACATTTCCCATGGCCCAATCCACTTAATCTGCATATGTTTGGACTGTAGGAGGAAACCCAGACAGACAAGGGGGAGAATGGGCAAACTTCACACAGTTACCCAAGGCTAGAATCAAACCCAGGTCCTTGGCACTACAAGGCAGCAGTGCTAACCACTGAGCCAGCGTGCATTTACCATGCATGTGCTGTTAGTTTCGGCTACACAGATGAGAAAATCTCATCAATAAGATAGTGCTCCACCACTTTAGCTATATACTTCTAGCCAGAAAACTGACAAAAATAATTTTTAAAGCTTTTTTTTGTCTTTTGGAGGTAACAATAAACATAAGCTGTATTCAGTGTGGTGACCATAAAAATGATGTCACACTGGCATTTAAAACTCTTGATATAAATCTCACCCATTCTCAGGATGGTACCTTTAATTGAACAGTGCCTATGTTTTTCATGTCAGCAGCTGATCCTTTCATCAAACGTGTAGTCACACGGTCACTGTAAGTCACTCCTGCCTGAATTCAGTGCATTTAAAACTTAATGGCCAAGTGTGATACACGTACAGAGCTTCGTTCTCGTGCTAATTCAGTCTGCAGCCAAGTAACACTCATACAGTTCTGCCAGGCTAGAATTGATTCCTTAACTGGTAAAAAGTAGGATTAACATTTAAACGCTGCAAGAGGCATAATTCCACCTTTGGGAAGAAAGCAGAGTTAACTCTTTATCAGAACACCAGACTCGAAACATTAACTGCTTCCTTCGCAAAGATGCTGCCAGACCTGCTGAGTTTCTCCAGCTGTTTCTTAATTTTATTTTAGATCTCTAGCATCTACAGTTCTTTCTTTTATTTAATGACAGATATTATTCAGTTTCATATTCTATGCTCAATAGATTACTGTAGAAATATTGCAGATAGGTCAGTTTTACATGTGAGCCACACAGACTGTGAGCAGCACAATCCTGTACATCCCACCCTAAACTAAAGACAGATTACACACTAGAGTGTACCTCACACAAAATCCACTCACTTACAGAGATCCATATTGCAAATTGTTCAAACTTTATCATTAAGGGGAGCGTGGCAGTGGTCAAAAGGTCTGGATTCCTGAGACTGCAGTAAGCACGGGGCTGGAGGGGATCAAGTGAACACTGATCCCTGTATCTCTCACTCTTAGTTTGAGCTCTGGCTGTGGAAGCTGAGAGACTACAGAAAGATGACCTTGGCCAAGGACAGGCTGAGGAAGAAAGCCTCTCCAAGCAAGCGGACATATGCTGAGTAGACCAAAGGAATTGGTGCAGTAACGGGAGGATCCAGGAGCCTCAGCAATGTAGGCAATGTGAACGTTCAGGTCCCATTGCCCACACTCTGATCTCCCCAACATTCTCCCAAACTGCACTCCTCAGGTCAATCCAGCTTGCAGCTCGACACAACGTTCTTGCCCCAGGCATCTCTTTCCATCGCTGTGTGAACATCCAACCCTCAGTTTATTGCTCTTGTTCACCAAGCTTCATAGTCACACGCCCTTACACCACATCTAACACACATGCAGATAACAGCGCCCAACTCAGCCTGAAGCAGAGACCCAGGCGTATGCGGGAGAACAGTCAGGGGTTGTTAGGGGGAGTGTGCCCTTCCAGTGCCAGACTGCGCCCATTGGGTCATTCTATGAATGCCCTGTTCCAGGAGGCTGCAGGCATCAGCAACGATCAAGTGTAAAAGTCTGAGCCTCCTGAGGCACCGATGCTCAGCCACTTCCAGCAAGCTGGGCAACTGTCTGTCAGGGATCTCCATGTCATGTGGAGCTACACATGGCTGAGGGGAAGGCAGCTGGTGCTACCGAAGATGGTTCTTTTCAGAGGGTACAAGGCAAGGCTGCATAAAACGTGATGGCGAAGACTGGCATCATGTTTGCAATTTGCTGTCATTCAGTGAAAGCACACTTGCACTGTAATGATTACAGAAATACTGTGAGCACCAGCCTCTCACCTAGACGAAGCTAAAGCTTTCAATTTCACTAGTCACAGACTTCCCTTTCACTGAAGAAAACACCCAATGGTATATTTGCCTGGTTAATCCTTGCAACTCGCTAACACCTTGGGAAATGGGCATAATGGCTATTAAAGTCTGATTGCTTGGTTAAAACAATGGTTAATACCTATTTAAGTCCATTATTTAAATGACAGCTCTGTGCATGCACCAAAATCCAGCTTCCTTTGCCTGTTAAAATCCCCCTACGTTGTCTGTAAAATAACCATGATCTTTGACTTCATAGTGTGTTGATGTACTTGCTGCTATAATTATTTTAATTTGTTGTCCCTTCCTTTCCCTGAGCCACTTTTCAACATACCAGGCTTTTCCAGACCGTAGACGAAGTACTGGAGTTGTCCTATTGCCTGTTGCCGGAAGACAAACTGTCACTTTTCTCATGGTGGAACATCACATTTAGCAGCCTGGCAGTGAACTGATATTTCAAGCATACAGCAAGTGTGACAGAGTCCTGTATTTATTGGTAAATGGATGAAAGTGACAGCCTCAATCAGTACCACAGAGGGATAATGTAAATAGCCCAAAGGGAAATGATATCACAATTAGAATGACAAATAATCTATAACATACTGTCGGCTAAGGTTTCCTTTGAGCTGTTTGCAGTAGCATTGACAATGCTGTGCAGAGATTAATTTTCTCTGGTAATGAACTGCCCATTTTGTGCATAAAATCTTCGTGTGTAAATTTAACACGGTTGATGGTTTGAAATAAATGTACTGATAACTATTACAAGGATTACAAAAGTATTTAATGTGAATACAATTACGAAGTGTAAATGGCAAGGAAAAAGCATTTGCAACCAGCTTCAGCCAATAGCGCCGAGTGAACAATCAATGTTCCCACGGCCACCACAGGGGATTGGAGTTGATTTGATTTGACTTATTGTTGTCACATGTACCTAAGTAGAGTGAAAAGTTTTGTTTTGCGAGCAGTACAGGCAGATCATGGCAAACAAGGACATACAGATCATAGGGTGCTTAGACAGAGCGAGGCATACAAGGTATTAGAGAGGTCCATTCAGCAGTCTAATAACAGCAGGGAAGAAGTTATTTTTGAACCAACATCACAGCTGCTAGTTTTCAGCGAATGTGACTTACTCCACGTGATATCAAGGAGTGGTGAAGGTACTGGATACAGCAAAGGCTGTGGGCCCTGATAACATCTCCAATTTATTACTGAAGACTTCTGCTCCAGAATTAGCTATGCCCCATTTCAGTACAGCTACAACACAATGTGGTGTATATCCTGTCCACAAGGCAAACCAAACCCAGCAATTATCGCCCCATCAGTCTGCTCACAACCATCAGCAATGGGATGAAGGGTGGTATCAACAGGCTGCTCAATAACGTTTGGTTTGCGTTTCACCAGGGTCAACTCCAGACCTCAGTAATAACCTTCGTCCAAACATGGACAGAAGAGCTGAATTCAACTGGTGAGGTGGGAGCTACTACCTTTGACATCAAAGCAGCGTGTGATTGTGTAAGGCATAAAGCAGCTCCAGCTAAACTGGGGTCAGGGGTAAATCGCGGGGCAAGTGCTGCATTGTTTGGTGTCAGAAAAGAAGCAAAAAGGAAGAGAGTTCTGATTTCCTGAAGACCAGCTCCAGCAGCAGCTGGTCCTTAGCATAATGTCTTACACAAACCATGTTGCTGCTTCATCAAACAGCTTCCCTTCTTCATCAGGTTAGAAGTGGGGATGTACACTGATGCCATTAATGTTCAGCATCGTTCATAAGTTGATAGATACTGAAGAAATCTGTGCCATATGCAGCAAGACTTGGACATCGTTCAGGCTTAGGCTAATGAGTGGCAAGTAACACTCCCATTACACAATTGTCAGGCAATGTCTGTCAACAAGGTAGAAACTAACCATCTCCCCTTGACAATCTTCTGACCAGGGGCTCAGAAGATATATGGAAACACCACCCCCCTGCAAGTTCCCCTCCAAGCCACTCGCCATCCTGACTTGGAAATGTATTGCCATTCCTTCACTGTCACTGAGTCAAAGTCCAGCTCACCTCCACCTTCTCAAGGCAACTAGGAATGGGCAATAAATGCTGGCCAGCCAGTAACACCCGCATCCCATTAGCAACATCTCCTATGGGTTGAACACAGGCAGAAGGGAGTAGTTCAGTTTGGGAAACCTGATTAGTATGATGAGTTGGGCTGAAGAGCCTGTTGCCATGCTGTTTGACTGTATGACTCTATGATTGTAAGAGTTCTTTTAGGTATCTAAAAGCTAAGAGAGAGGCAAGAATGGGCATTGAACCACTGGAAAATGAGACTGGAGAAGTAGTAATGGGGAACAAAGAAATAGTGGAGGAACTGAATACGTACTTTGCATCAGTTTTCACAGTGGAAGACACCAGTAACATACCAGAACTCCAAGGGACAGAGGTGAGTGTAGTGGCTAT